TAATTTTTTTAATATTTTATTGTAATTTAATTTTGTTTTTACATTTTATTTTTATTTTGTTGTAATTAATTTTCAATTTTTAAACCGTTGTATTGCTTGTGTTTTATTTTGCGTTTGTTTTTGTTTTAAAGTGGCTTAACTGAAGAAGACTATTAAATATAGTCAAAAACGTTTTTATTTTATTAAATACTTCGTTGCTGGAAATACTAAGGTATTTGATTATTTTAAGTATTTATATTCCAGTAAGTTATTTTATTTTATTAGAGGACTGCTTGCAGTAACTTTGGACTGAGATGCTGCAAGCAGTCCATAGCACATCTTTATTCCTCTGTGCCAGTCTGAATCATATCATCTACTTACACTAGAGGTGGACCAACAGGGTACTAGAACTTTCTTTCATTTATAGTTTTCTTGAAATAAATGATCCTTTTGCTTTTATTTTGTAATCACTTACTTATATCACCATTGTACAATTTTGTTCAATTCTGACAACCGCTTCTTGGTATGCTAATTTTTATGTTACTGTAGTGTGTAAATTATGATTTGAAATAAATTTGATAATATGAATAAATGATTTGAAATAAATTGTAACATGTGTCTGTGTTGGCACCTTAGTGCCAACACAGACACATGTTACAATTTATTTCTTGTGACAAGTCAGCTAAGGCTATAGAAAAAGAATCTAAAAAAAAAAATCATTTGGATCTGACATTGAAAATTAACAAAAATTAAGCACAATAGAAGTGCACAAATTTCTTTCAGGAAATCACTTTTGCTAAACTACAAAAAGTTAGATAGCACTAACATCAGAGTAAATTGGATATCCCTGTATATATTATCAATGTTCCCTCTTTCCATATTCTCATTAATTTCACTACAGATCTTTTCCATACATTCTTTCTTTGCTTTACTGGTTTCTTTATCAATCATAATTTTGTATTGTGTTTGGTTGTTCTCTATATTTAAAACTATTAGTACTTTAAATCATCTCTAGAATTTCCTTTGTTATCCACAGTTTGTACATTGTTCTCTCATTCTGAAATATTTTTGGCAGCTCCAGAGACATGTATGTATATATGATTAATAAATATATAAAAAAAGCAAAGTAAGAATGGACAGACATGATCTGCAGTGAAATTAATGAGAATATCATAATAAGAAACATCAAGAATGCATATGATTTGAAACTTCAAGCTTTGCTTGTATTTTTCTGAATGCAAGTAAAGCTGGAAGTTTCAAATCTTAATTTTGAACATGAATTAGAACATATGTTAAACCTGAGTAGGGCTATTTAAGATATCTGAAAATGTTAAGTTGTTTAATTAAAATTTGCTAGAAAAAGTGAGAAAGGTGTTTTTTAATAATATATAGAAGTTCTAGCTTACAGTGTAAAGAATCAAGAATGCATGTAATATAAAAACACATTTTACTGAACAAAGGATAAGCACACATACAATTGAGGACAAAAATGGAAAAATTCTGATTGAGGATGATAAAATAGCATATAGATGGAAAGAATACATAGAACTTCATCAATGATTTCAATAAGCATGTGCTTGAAGATTAGACTATGGTGGATGGAGGTGAGATTAGCCCATGGATACCGAAGGAAGAATTTAAAACATGACTAAAAGAACTAAAACTAAAGCCAAGAAAAGCAGCAGGAATAGATAGAATATCTGCAGAAATCATTCAAGCTCTGCAGGATAATGGAAGATCCATTCTATATAAATTAGTTAATCAAATGTATATCAGTAGAATCATCCAAAAGAATTTCAAACAGAATATAGTGATACCTTTTACTTCTAATGCTTCAGAGTTCAAACTGTGCATGAACTGAAAAAAACAAATGCACTCAAACCATAAAGAAGTTATTAACAATACCTTACTGTTCTTATTTCTAATTTAATCTTTAACCTTCTACTCGGACATATCTTATTAGTAGGACGTTACACTGGTGTTTAATAATTGATACAAAACTGCCAGTTAGATCAGAAAAATAAAACTTTTATTAAAATTCACCTGTAGTAGTAATTTTTTCTGTACACACATACATATACGTGTTTTGGGTAGACATACCCCTCATCAGCAGTATTACCAAAAACAGCTTAAAATAATTAAATAAACAAATAAGACAATTTGTATAAAAATTCCCAACAATAAAATCATTTTTTCAAAAACTTACAGTAAGGACGTATCCTAATTGCTTGTACACAACATTTATATTTCCAAATTCTACAATTTTCAATTTACAAAAATTCATTTTTCTATGTAAAATCAAATTGTAATCTTTCTAAAAATTTATTAATTTAATGTAAATTGATTTAATACAGAAAAACGAATTTATGTAAATTGGAAATTGTAGAATTTGGAAATATAAATGTTGTGTACAAGCAATTAGGATACGTCCTTACTGTAAGTTTTTGAAAAAATGATTTTATTGTTGGGAATTTTTATACAAATTGTCTTATTTGTTTATTTAATTATTTTAAGCTGTTTTTGGTAATACTGCTGATGAGGGGTATGTCTACCCAAAACACGTATATGTATGTGTGTACAGAAAAAATTACTACTACAGGTGAATTTTAATAAAAGTTTTATTTTTCTGATCTAACTGGCAGTTTTGTATCAATTATTAAACACCAGTGTAACGTCCTACTAATAAGCTATGTCCGAGTAGACAGTTAAAGATTACATAAAGAAGTCATCTTGCTCTTGCACTATGCTAGTATGTTTTCAGTGCTTTTTTCATTTTGTTTTTGGTACGTTTGGTTGTATATATTATGTTTATTTTTTTATTGACTTTTAACAATATATTCCTGCAATTTTTCTTTGATGACATCTTTTGAATGTACCCTACACTGTTTATCCATTAGTTCAAAATTTCCCAAATGGAACTTTCTAAACCACATTTGCAAATTTGAAGCTTGGGAGCATTTTACCCATATACATTATGAACCTTTCTCACATGTTTGTACTACATTTTATCCATTCTGAAATTCATAGAGTAGCATGCCAGATATGCTTTTTATCTGAAGACATTTTGACTCAATTTTATTCAAACAAAATATAAAGTAAAAGATTTAAAATAAGCTTCTAAACAAAGAATACAATTTCTCGTTAGCAATAATGTGTTAAATTTCACAACTGTTACAATTAAATCACACAACTATGTTAAATAATGACAGATGTTAAAACTTAACACAAATTTTCCATTCAGCCCAATGTAACCTTTACTTGCTAAAGATGACATCCAAGAAATGTGTAGAAGCAATAAAAACTAAAAGAAAGGTTGCAATATTGATAATTGAAACTAAAAAGGAACTTATTTTGAAGCGTGAAGTGGTACACTGGTGATAGATATAGCTGCCTGTATAAGTTGTCAAAGTTGACAGTGTGCAACTAATAAATGCAATTTTCATTTTCTTATATATAGTGTTTACATATTTTATTTAGTGCTTTGTGTTTTAATTTATTATTACAGCATTTATTGTGTTATTTTTACCTTAATTATGTGTATTTTCTGTTTTAAGTTTATATTGAAATGGGTATTGTTTAGGATTTGAGAATGAATTAATTCACTTTTCATTATTCTTACGGGAAAAATTACTTTGGACTTTGAACAAGTATGAAGCACACTATATACTAATAGAAAAGGGATCTAAGAAAAGGGACAGTAAAGTGTGAAGATCACAGAACACAAAATCTATTGCAACACTTATTGAAAACTCTCAAGGATAATATTCTACAGATCAGATGAAAACAAACTTGGTTTCATGAAGAACAAAAGCATAAGATAAGCCATTTTGAGAGTATGCATGATCATAAAAAAATCAATTATAGCAGATATGCCAGTATTCATTGCTTTTATTGATATTTCTATATCAATAAAAGCCTTTAATAAAAGCAGTAGACTATTTTATTCAACACTTATGTATAAAAAGCTATGAAAAAATACAAGGAAACTAACTGTAAAGATATAAAGATAAATAATACAATCTTCAATACAAGATGACATAGCTCTGATTACAAACTGTGAACGAGAGCCACAAAAGGCATTGAGAGACCTTAATGATGTACTAAATAACTGCAACCTGAAAATAAATCTTACAAAGACAAAAGTAATAATTTGATCAAGAGGACATGAAAGACATGCTAGAATAACATTAAAGAAAAGGAATTAGACAGTATGGAGAACTTCCATTACCTGGGAGCCTCATAACATCTGATTAAAAGTGTGGAAAAGATGTGACATTGAAAATTTCTAAGGGAAAGAAAACATTCTACAGAATGAAAGGAACACTAACATTGAACAATCTGTCTGTGAATATAAAGAGAAAACTCATCAAAAATTACATTTGGCAAGTAACCTTGTACGGCTCAGAAATGTGGACATTGTGGAAAAAAGTAGACAAAATTACAGAGCTTCAAAATGTAGTAATGGAAGAAAATGCTGAAGCTATCTTATGGACTTAAAAACTGTCCAATGAGCATATTTTAGAGCAGCAGAAACCTCAATTATCCTTATCTCTAAAAATAAATGAAGAGGACACTAAAGGAACAGCATGATAGAACATTATTAAAACATTCAAAATAAATGAACATATTTTTTGAGGAAATTATGAAAAGAAAAGTGGTAAGAGAATGACAAAGAATGAAATACTGGGATATAATGAAGGGCAGAACACCTTACAACAAGATTACAAAACTAGCACTAAATATCATAGAAGTAAATGACAGACTTCATGCTGCCCACTAACCCTTAAGTTGAGAAGAGAAAAAAATCCTCGTTTGATATGACCTTTTGTAATGTATTACATGCAGAATAATTTGATCTGGCCTGCAAAGTATTTTCTCTTTTTGCTTACTAACACTGCTAGGATTGAAAGTTTTCATAATTTCGATATTTATATTCAATAGAAAACTTTTAATTCCAATACAATTTTTAAAACAAAAAAATATTTAATTATAATATAATTTTTTCAAAACACACAACATACCTTTCTACACGATCCATTAAACTTTCTAAATGAGCCAGAGTGGAAAGTAAACCTTGTCGGCAGCGCACCAGATAGGCAATGTATGATGCACGAGATTTATAATCATCTTTAAGTGATTTAAAAAGTTTTTGACAACTGTAAGAATTTAAATTAATACATATTAACAATAACAATTACTAAATATTGGTATAATTTCACTGTTGAAATACCTATTAACATAAAATTTAACTTAAAGTATTTGTAATTATGTTTGTAGATTATACCACTCACCAAACAATCACCAGTTCATGTCACAAAAAAGGCAAAATTCTTACGAAATTTTCATCTATGTGAAATAGACATCTTCAGATCTTAACCATATCAAACAAACGGTTAGTAAAATAGAAAGTTTTTTTAAAAGTTTGGATTGATTACATAATTTGATTACATTGTGTCAAAATTTATGTAATGTTTGGGATATAATTTCAAAATATGTAAAATATTTAAAAGATATCCGAATACATAATCAATTAGTTTTGTGTAAATTATTATGGTGGTCATCTCAAGCAATTCGAAGTTATATACCTCAAATCGCTTGACATCTATTGGGCAGTTAAACAGGGAGTTGCTATTAACTTCAAGGAAATGGACACACTATCCACAGCTTGGTGTGCCATTTTTGAACTAGATTCCACCAACATAAACTTGCACTAAGGATAATTTAAATTACAGAAGATATTTGCATCATAATAATTTACACAAAATTAATTTATTATTTATTCAAATATTGTTTAAATATTTTACATATTTTGAAATTATATCCCAAACATTATATAAATTTTAATGCAATGTATTCGAATTATGTAATCAAACCAAACTTTTAAAAAAACTTTCTATTTTACTAACTGTTTGTTCGATATTGTTAAGACCTGAGAATGTCTATTTCACATAGACGAATTAGATAAGGAAACACACCTGTTGACTTCCAACAGTAGTTTAATACCATTAAAACATTTTTGACCTACTGCTGGAAATCAAAAGGTGCCTTTCCTTATCTATTGCATTAAAACCAGTTTGCCTTGAAAATATTCATATTTATATTGCTGAATGGAATCACAGTAATATTCCACTTTAGGCTATCCCAACACAAGCTTGTGCCCTAGAAGCTTCCAGACTAACAATTATTAATCAAAAGCAAGGATTCAAATGGCATAAGTCACCTCTAGGTGACTTATGCCATTTGAACATCATACCCAGCAGTGGAAATATAGAAGTGGTCAACGGAAATTGTGGATTCAAATTGCATCATGCCTAAAGACGATATCAGCGCAGGTATCTTAGTAATCGGTAAATTGCGATCAGAGTCGAAAGGATGGTGTCGGATAAACCATCCTGGGCAGACCTTTCTCACAACCTGAATTGGTCTTGAATTCCACCTGGAGACAGTTAAGAAACCAATAAGAGAGTGAGAAAAGGGAAACCCAATGAATGAAAAGAAGAAAAAGGGAAAAGGTACATGTAAAACCGTCAGTGTGAAAGGACAGATGCATGTTTGTTCTTGTCCTCATCTTTGACTTCATCTTCTTCCATATAAACATTCTGAAGTCGTCTCTTCCTCCTGTGGTTACATCCTGTGCCTAAACTCAACTGCTTTGGACTCCTGACCAAATTGCTGCTGCTCCAAGGCTGTCCAACCGAACATCAAATTGAATGAATCAAGACCAACTGAAACATCAAGACTTCAATTTGTCACTTGGACTTAATATTTCTGATGTAACCATAACTTTCATCCAAATAAATGGTTTTATGTTAACACTTGTTTTCTATGCCTCCACCATCAACACCCACATACACAAGGACCCTAGACCATCCTGAACAAGGGAGTAAAATTCCCCCTATAATCAGCATACTTACATAAAGATATAGAGGTATCAGAAAGTTTTTTCTACAGAGGTATAGCTTATACAATTTAAATTGTTCTTGATAATAGTTTTCTAAAGTTATTGCATGAATTTTTTTTAAAAAAAGTTGTCTTTATTCAAATTTATTTCATCAATTATCTTTCCAGCCAATTATTATATATACTTATATCTAAAACATAATATTGTTTGAATCAAAACAAAAAATTTCAATTTCAAAGTATTGATAAAAAAGTTTTGGCCACCACTGTATCAGATAATGAGTAATTATTTATTGTGATATCATCGCAATGCAGTGTTGTGTTCTGTGCGACTTGAATAACGATGATGTAATATAAAAAACATAACTTTATTTTCAAGCGGACAAAAGATACATAAATATACAGGTCCCAACTCTATTGCGTCTTCCTCTTGTGAGTGCAGAGACAAACTATGGTGACGGTTGCACCGAAAATAAGCCCATTCAATCACCACACAGACTCATGTATACAATATTTGTGTCACGTAATTATACAATCTTCAATCACGCTTAATTAACAACTAACTTATCCTATATTCTAAACATACTTAATATTAAGTGTGAGATTAGCCGGGGGTACCTTTCCTCTAGGATTGTTGGTACCACTTATTCGGTGGCTAGTTGGTGAAACTAGTTCTCAGGTCATCTACAAGAATGGCTTTTCCTAATCCAAGGAAAATCGAGGGCAAAAAGACTTACAGTTGGATATTTCTAGAGTGGAACTAAAGGATTTCACAATTCTTCATTTTTACGTCAAGATCCTGACACCAGTTACTCAATTTACCATTACGCGGATTAATACACATATAGAGATAATACGGATTTGATTCAGATATTGAATAAGAGACATTTCTTTAACATAGGAATAAAAGAATTTAATAAACTAGGATAAACAAAAGTATACAAAAAATGGATATAATCCAATAATTAAAATGAGCAATTGAGAGAGAATATGGGTTCAATTAAAATATACGCTTTGAGAGAGAGAGCTCACAAATTCATTGATAATCATACTACCTCAAAATGTGCTTTGTCTTTATCTTCATATGTATTCTATGATCATACTTCGTTTCATGGAGAGGTCTTTATTTGGCACAATATTATAAATTCTTCTTTTCTCCTAACTTAACTCATTTTTATACTCGATTGGATATGACTAAGGGCATTGGCCTTATGGATCAAATATGGACCATGTCGGTCTTCTCTGAGATCCTTCGACGTACTCCCCAAATCATGTAGATCTTTGACTATATCTCATGATTTGCGACCAATCAGCATATTTGTATTTTCTCACATGACCGGAGGGAAGGGGAATTATTGAGGGGTCGACAATTCCCAAGGGTGGTGAGATTTGTGATAGATAAATGAAAAACAAAAGGATGTGTCTACTTCCGTTAAAGGAAGTGACTCTTTCCCACGTTAGAAAAACGATAATTTCACACCTAAAATGAAAGAATATTTTACTTCATAATTTTAACTTTATATTTGAATTGTTAATTAGACCCAGGGACTATTTGAATCTCACATAAGATAGAAAAAGATTAGAGAATAAGATCTTAGGAAAGAATGAGTTTTTAGAAAAGGGGGTACCCGTTGCTCCACACATGTGTTTCTCAATGGTGACAAAAGGATGCAACGTTGAGATTTTGAGATAACCCACTTTTTGTTTCGATACTAAAAATTTTTCCTTATTTTGGTTCCCACAAGTGCTCTCTGTTTCTCCTCTCTTGGCCCACCATTGTTCTGATGTACCAACGATCATATTTCTTTCTTCTCAATGCTGCTTAACAACTCGGAGCTCACCGATTGCACGTCTTTACTCTTAGCTATCTTGGCCAAAAAGTGTCCCAACTATCGGGAACTTGTCCCGAGGGCCTCTTGCTCTCTATTGTTTCATTCCCCACATCTGCAGAAGTTGGGGTGGGTGGAAGGTTCTAGAAGTTGGTTATTCCACTCAAGGGAAAAAGTGTTATAATGTGGTGTTCTTGTGGTTGAAATAGTACGATCCACAAATGAAATGCACAGAAAGGAACATTGTGACAGTTACAATAATAAACACTTTCTTTTATTTCAATATGAACAGGTTCAGTTTAATCAGGAATCCCAACTGATGTATGAAATATTTACAATGCGAGGGGTATCAACAGAAAATCTTTCAGTTTGACAATAATTCACGGTATGACGTCCTCCTAACGCGTAACAATTAATATTTTATATTCGCGTAACTAAATCTAACTTAATCCTAACTTAAGGCTAACTTAATACTAAGGAAATGACAAGGAAGACAGGACAGAGGGAAGGTAAAAGAAAGAAAGAAAGAACTTCACCCGGGCCTTTCCCTTTATGTTCTGATGTCTCTGCGCTTTGGGTAGGATTTTCTCTTAACAACAATGGCTCTCAGCTTCCACTATGTTCTTGACTCTCCTTGCTTTCCGGAAGGTCTTCAACACGCCAGTTGCTGGATCTCTAATCGTGGAGATTCCACTTCCTTGGGCTCTTCCCGATCTATCTCGAGGCATCTGTAGGCCTTATGATCTGACCGTGGTTCCTCCTCAGTCCGTTACTCACCTCCTCGAAGAATTCCTTTGTTCTTCGCCACGAAGTCACGTTTGGAGCTCCCTTTGACACGTCTAGCTCTCTCCGTGTCTCATTCAATACTGCCTTCCTCTCTCTTGCTATTTTTCCACCATCCCTCCTACAACTATAGCTCTTTCCAATTCTCAGAATGGCTAATCCTACACACTATTGTTCTTTCCAATTGTCAGAACAGCTAATTCCACCCAAAGGCTATAACTGTCATTTGGAAGGTTCTAGAAGGAACAGACAAAGGAAATAGAAAAAATAGGGAAAGAAGATTGGAATTATAACTATATACAATTAAAATACATATGTCGATATGGCCGACTGACACAATAGAACGTATTAGATAAGAAAGTTCCAGAAGGAGGAAGAAACAAAGAACAAATGAAAAAAATAAGACTATACTTAAATTACTCTATACATATATATAGTAATGTGAGCCGCCGGGGAGGTTGGGACTTCTTCTCCTTCCCGGTGACCTACTTTCTTGTCAGGGATGGCGTTTCATTCAGTTACGCGTTACGCGAGTGGAGGAGAACCGGAGGGGTCGACGATAAGACGTTGGCAAAGTCGAGTAACGACACCATTTAAAAACAAAACAAGAGTTTATTAACCTAACTAACTAAATAAAATCTTACAAAACTCCTTAGACTTCGCGGATG